CSYAAAYYYGGGGGGSRTWAWWAAWTTRRTRCRRRWAAAYSGGGMTMSRTWWTMGYAGGGAGGTGGCTTAGTAGAGGGGGGGGCCTTAATAGAGGATTTACGTTAATTAACTTTGGGTTGTTTTTATCTCATGATTTCAAAGCCATTTATCAATGGGACAAGAGCTCCACTGTTTTGTTTGCTTTGCTAGTGTGAACTTGCTTTGTGTAAAAACTTATTTTCATTTTCAGCTCCACATTGAAAGAACTATTTTGATAGAAAACAGGTCACATGCTACCAAAATCATTTTTTCAAGGAATGCGCCGACTAAACAGGTAAAAAAAATGGAAGGTTACTTAATGTTGCACTTATTCATGCTAGTTTATCTGATGTATCAAGGTATAAATAACTGTTTTGATCGAGTTTTGGCTTTGACATGATAGTCAATAACTTCCAATCGATAGAGTAATTACAGAGCATTTATTAGGGTTAGCAGCTAGTAAGTTAGTATGGTATCTTTTCCAAAAAATTTTATCATCAGTAGTGTGCGAGCTACAACACCATTGCGTAAGGTTTAAAATTTTGTTTTGCTACTTGTATTTTTGAAGGCCTTTACTGCCAGTGGCGACCATCTCACTGGTGGAGCATGTGCTAAATCAACTGTCCCTGTACACAAATGGAGAAATTATTTATCATCCACAACGAGTGACAACACAAGGTTGGAATTGACATGTTAGCATATTTGTACAAAACGATCAGGTTGAAAGTTTAATTAATATTAAAAAATATACATTTAAATCTTTAAATTTAGTGCCTTAAAGGAACAAATCGACGCGCAAAGAAAAGACTGCAGTAAACTCGCAGTGCAGAAGAAGCGTCTGGAAAACAATTTGATGCAAAAAAGAGTGAGTGCCGAATTAACCCATGATGCTTTTCTTTCTCCTTGAGAAAACGCTTTTGTGATGTCTTAATGCCATCAGTTAAAGTAAAGGTTTCTTACGATTTCTAGAATGAACAGCAAGAAGCATTCAAGAGAAAAAAGACATTGCAAGCAAAAGTGGATAATCTTAAAATTGTAAGTTGAAAAAAAAATGCTGATTTAAAGTTTACCCCCTTAGATTACCTGTACTGCATGTCTAGGCAAGGCTATGTAAACGTGTGCAAGCGTTTTCTTTTACGAATTAAAACCCACTCTTTACGTCACGTGGTACAAAATCACCGGACAGTTATCAGTTAATAACCCCCGTTTACGTCGACATTTTTCCTCCAATTATTTTCGTCGAAAAGCCAGAGGAAAAAAGGTTAGGTCAAGAGTTTCACTTTATCATCTTTGTTACTTTACATGGAAGAAAAACGAGCCCGTTTTGCAGAGTCCATTGGTAATGACATTAAAAAACTAATCTCAAATGCTGCTCTGGAAAGTAAAAAAGGTCAGCAAGATTTTTACTCTTAGCGCGCGATATGGCATACCAGCCACCTGAAGGGGTTTTTTTTACTAAATATTTCTCAAAAGACACGCAAATTCTAGACGTCATTACAGTGTTTACGGCAGTTTGGTTCGCGCAAAGCCCACCTACAAAGTATCGACCAATAAGAGCATGGGGGTCTTACAAGTATTTTGTACTGTAACATACTTGGTCCATGTGTCCTTTCACCACGCACAGGAAATCAATGAACTGCAAGAAAGCCTTGAAGAAGCTGTTTCCCTTGACATTCCAGTTTTGGTAAGTGGAGTTATCAGTCCTTTGGATAGTTTCACGTCACTACTCAAATCTTTAGGATTCCTATTAGTGAGATTTAGCAACGCGTTTACGTGAAATGGGAATGGCAAGAGTGACCTCGTAACCACGTTTTCCCGCCATTTTCTCACGTTTGCCGGTTGCACTTTGCCGTTTCTACGTGAAAGTAATCTGTTTTGGGTTTACCGTGTACGTAAGATTTTGTCCACTTGTCTCACACAGAGTGGAAGTTAATTGCCAAAACTATTCTTTGTAAGTCATACAAGGGCGCCATTAAATCCGCCATGACGTGAGCTTAGGCGAAGCCAAAGCAGTAAGGTTCACTCTTTACGTGAAACGTGAAAGGGAAAGCTGACGTCTGTCGTTTAACATCAACGCTGTGCTAAATCTCTCTATTGTCTCCACAACAATGTAAGAAGGCATGGGGAGCTCTTCTGTTACTTATATGTTGTTATCGTTTCAGGAATGCGAGGTAGAGCAGGGCAATCAACGGGTCGAGGTGCTCAGTGAACAGGTACAATGACAATACCGCAAGATTGACTAAAGAACGCTAGGATAGACTCAGTGCGTGCATTTAAAAAATTGTAATTCGCAAGAAGTGTTTCAATTTCATGGGATGAAAACTCGTCTTTATGAACTGCCTAAGGATTTGAACAAGACTCCCAGAGTAATTACTGATACAACCCTAGCTGAAAGTTTTGCTTACGTAGTTATCGTAACCCACGGTGTTTCGTGTTCCCAACTCACTTTTCACGACTCTGCTCGACTGCTGAGCTTGTTTTTAGTTTATTGGCCGGTCCGCGAGCTTGCAAAAAATTCAGGGTTCTAGATAGAATATCTGGGTACTTACCATTGAAGCAAACCATTGGATTAGAAATTTCACGCTCAACCTTTCCAGGACCTAACTTCGTTTGTCTTGTGTTTCTTACCCGCGGACAAGGCAAGTGGGTTTCCTCTTTGCTTCCTGCCACCCGGCTCAAATTGTAACAACGTGATCGGTTTGCTTTTTACTTAACATAGCACTCTGGGTGTATTTTTCTAATTTCCTGCTCGCAAAGTAAGTGCCGTGGTGGGAGTAACTGCGGAATACCCTGCCACTCATTTACATGTTATTGAATAAGAATAGCCTCTATTGTGAAGAACGAAGATAACACAATAGAAGGTATTCTGCAGTTTAGCCGCCGTGGTGTTCGAACAGGCAGGCAAATGGCTTTCAGCGAGAGAAAAGCATTCTTTCTTTGCAGAGTGAAACTGCACAACAGAAATTTGCTGAAGCCGTAGCACTGATGGAAGAGCAAAACAAAATGAATGCTGACCACAAGAATAGAATTTCGGAGGCACTCCGACAGGCAGAACCTCTCAAGGTAACGGTTCAAGCTGATGAACAAAGTAGTAGTCATGCAAACCTTATTATCTAATGTCAGAAAGCAGTGATCCTTTTCAAATTAAAACTGAACTGAGACATTGGTTGTAAGTCGTATAGGAACTTAAATTTTGAAATGAAGTTGAAGATTTTCCCTTGTGGTTTAAGCATGGCCATTTCGTTGCTTATTTTAATGGTTCGGAAATTTTTCTACATGTAAGGGCAAAGAGAGGGAAAAGTCCGAGAATTTCGAAAAACCTATGGCTTTAGTAGACATGATATAACGAACAGCTAGACCTTGTGTTGATGAAATAATTCCTCATAATGTCAGCATTAATTACCCTGTAAATCATCGTTTGGTTTTCTTCCCGAAAAATTGGTCTATATGTAATGCTCAATTTGGAAGAGGGGAAGAAATTATCGGTCATCATCATACACGTCAGTAGCTAATTTATAATGCGACGCGCAATTTCACAGTTTGTTAATGTGGCCTTTGTGGAGTGGGATCTTTCTCCAGACGTATTTTCCTTTATTTTGTCTAGGAAAAGTTGGAATCTCTAACACTCAGAAAAGAAGAGGAGAAGATTAGGAAGGAACGCTCTGATAACAAACGCAGGAAATTCGAGCAGAAAATAGAGGAGATTAAAAAAGAGAAGGAGCACCTGGTTCACTTGGCCGAGGTGAGACGGCGTGAGTTAAATTTTAGTTCACAAGTGATTACAGTGGTGGTTACAATGGTTGTGGCGACAGCGATGATGTCTTGGATTGAATGCGTGTTTTCTTCATACATACACACATACACACACATACACACATACACACACACACATAGGTTAATTGACCACTCCCCATAGGGCCTTTTCAGAGCCGATTCCCACCCATCCCACCCAGGGGAGGACATCCACCACACAGTAATCTCGTGCGTGTGAAATTAACGTCTCCTACCCCTAACCCTGCAGGAGACGGGGCCTTATCCGAGAAGACTAGAA